ATCATGCAACAAATATGCCAATCAGCACAACACTAACAAGTTTGCTAGAAGTAGAATAATATTATGTAAAAATCACTAACTAAATCTGCAACACTGTACAATGCATTTAACAGTAATTATAACAGAACATGTTTACATACAGAAAAAAGAGGTAATGATGGCCCTGCTCATATGAGCTTATAGTCTAAAGGGAATGGGGTAAATTACATAAAAGGTAAAAGTAATGTGTATTATGTATAAGTTAAATATTTGTTATGAAACATAATTTGAAAAATTATAGATCTATAACCCATTTAGAGTATAACAGAAAGAGCAATGTGTTAGTAGAGAATGGCGAGAGAAGTTTTAACTGGTTTTAATTAATATTAAAATAGAGGAAAATTTATTCATACTTACCATAATTTTCTTTTCCTGGTCACAGGCCATGGCAGCACAACAATGGGTAGCTCCTCCCTATCCCTAATTAGACAGGAACTAATTCATATAAATAAGGGCATGTTAGTCTTGTTACTGGCAATATCCCAGAGCGGGATCTTTGTGCTGCCATGGCCTATGACCAGGAAAAGAAAATTACGGTAAGTATGAATACATTTTCCTTCTTCCTGGCCATATCCATGGCAGCACAACAATGGGTAATACCCAAGCAATAACCAAGGGAGGGAATAATACTCAGACTCAAGGATTCAGGAATGCTAGTGTATTAGAAAACCACAAACATGAAACACAGCAATAATCAAACTTATGAGTTGGATGCAGAAAGAACCGTTTTACCAAATTGATCTAGTTGACAAGCTTTCACGTCTATTTGGTAATGTCTTATAAAAGTGTTCGTAGAGGACCAAGTTGCTGCTTTGCAAATAAGTTCTGTTGATACCTTAGCCGCTGCTGCCCATGATAGAGAAAGGGACCTTGAAGAGTGAGCCTTAAGTCCTTCTGGAATCTTCATTTTAGATGCTTTGTAAGCTTGTATGATGGCAGATACGATCCATCTACTGATGGCTATTTTGAAGGCTTCTCCTGGATCCCATGGAAATAATAAACAATCTTTGTGAAATACGCCATGAGGAAGATCTTTGAAGATAAATTGACAGACACCTCATCAAATCTATGGGAGAGGGATTGGGTATTTCTCGATCATCTGATTCCTCTGAATGCAGTGCTGGGAGCACTATTTCTTTGTTAATGTGGAAGGCTGAGATAACTTTTGGTCGACATTCTGGAACGGTTCTCAAAATTACTCTATCCTTGTGGAAGACTGTAAAGGGCTCTACAGCCGATAGGGCATGGAGTTCGGATACTCTTCTACCTGAAGCTAAGGACACCAATAGAACAGTCTTTATGGTGAGGAAATAAGGAGAAACGGATTCTAGTGGTTCTACAGGGGAACAGCTCAGGAGCAAAAGGTGTAATAGGAGGCTTTATCTTTAGAACTGCTGACCTGAATCTGTTCACATCTGGATCAAAGGCCCATTTGTGATCAGTGAGTGCCGAAAGAGCCGAGATCTGTACCTTTAAGGTATTATAGCTTAAACCTTTATCGAGACCTAGTTGTAGAAATTCCAGAATATCTTTAGTAGAGAGAGACTGAATCTCTATCTGTTTGGATATTGCCCATGCGGAAAAGACATCCCAGACTCTATAATACGTTGTGGAAGTTGAGCACTTTCTGGCCTGCTACAGAGTGTTGATTACTGATTGAGAAAACCCTTTTTCTTTTAACCCTTCCCTTTCAAATTCCATGCCATCAGCTTGAAGGAGACCAGATCTGGGTGGAGAACTGGGCCTTGTTGTAGAAGAGAAGGAATCTTCGGGAGCTTCCAAGGTTTTGCTTTGCAGAGACTCAACAGTAGAGGAAAACACGGTCTGCGAGGCCAGAAGGAAGCTATGAGAATGATGGATACTTTTTCTTGTCTAAGCCGTCTCAGAAGGGGAAAGATGAGAGGAGTAGGAGGGAATGCATATCCTAGGTTGAATAGCCATTCGCTTGACAGAGCATCTGTCCTATTGCCTGGGGGTCGACATTTTTGGAGAAGAAATCTTCCACCTTTCTGTTCTTGTTTGTTGCCATTAGGTCTATTTGTGGTATTCCCCATCTCTCTGTGATCATATTAAATACGTTGACTGATAGGCTCCATTCTCCTGGTTCTATTTCCACTCTGCTTAGGAAGTCAGCTACTGAATTTTGTACTCCAGGAAGATGAACTGCCCATAAACCTGCTAGATGTGCCTGCGTTAATGACATCAGTGGTTTCATTATCACCATCATCCTCTGACACCTGGTTCCTCCTTGATGGTTTATGTAGGCAACTACTGTTGCGTTATCTGTTCTTATTTTGACCCATTTCTGGAGGACAAGAGGAAGGAAATAGTTCAGAGCTTTGAGTACCGCCAAGAGATTGGAGGAAGTGACTATTGTCTGGAGATCCCATTTTCCCTGAATGAAATGGTTTTGTAGGTGAGCTCTCCATCCCCATTGATTTGCATCCGTAGTTATAACCGTCAAAGGGATATTCCCCAGTAGGAATCCTCTGATCATGAGCTTTTTGTGAAGCCACCACATCAGGGATTGATTAACCCTTAAGAAGAATGTTGATGGGTTGCTGTAGATTTCCTGTTTTGAATTGTTAAATGAGATTTTTCTGGAATTTTCTCATCCTCCATTGTGCCCATTTTGTGAGACCTATGGTTAAAGACATTGAACCTAGAAGACATGCATTTCTCCACTGAAGTTACATTGGACGCCAACATTTCTCTGACCTTCTTTATCAGCTTTGTACCTCTTTCTGGAGACAAATGCACTGTGCCTTTGAGTGTATTGAACATGGCTCCCAAATGTTTAATGTTCTGAGATGGTTGTAGATGACTTTTCTTCTGGTTGATCTTCCAACCATGAAGTTGAAGGAAACCAATACAGCTTTGCCCATGAATCCGAAGAGTTTTCTGCCAGAATGAGGATGTCATCTAGGTAGTGGTAAATGGCTATGCCCTTCCGGAGTTCTGTGATTAAGACTACCAGAACTTTGGAGAATGTTCTTGGAGCTGTGCTGAGACCGAACGGGAGGGCACGGAATTGGAAATGGAAAAGGAACTTTTGATGATCCATGGCAATGGGGATATGAAAATAGGCATCTGCCAAGTCTATAGAAATCAGCTACTGACCTGGGAAAACTGCTTTTATGATGGATTGAATGGATTCCACCTTGAACCTGCGGATATTTAGGAACTGATTTAACCTGTGTAAGTCTAGGATAGGTCTCCATCCTCCTGAAGTTTTTTTGGTGAGGAACAAATGGGAATAGAAACCTTGACCCTGTTGAAACTGAGGAACTTGTATGATGAGCCCTTCTGCCTGGAGTGTATAAATGAATTCTTTTAAGGCTTTTCTTTTCTCTTCCTCTCCTGGCCATTTTGTTCTTTGAAACAAGTGCCCTAGAGGAGTTCTGGAAAATTCTAAAAGGTATCCTCTTTTTATGATATCCAATATCAGGATGAAAGCTCCCCGGTGGAGCTGAAACGTCGAATCTTTTTAGGCAATAAATGGAGAAGTTATCTTATGGAAAACCTTGAGTGCCGGTATTTTCACTTTGTTTATATATATATATATATATATACATATATATATATATACATTTATTTATATATATATATATCTATATATATATATCTATATATATATATATAGATATATATATATATATATATATATATATATATATACTAATGGAGATTAAAGACAATATAATTAAATAGACTATATCTGAATAACAAAATTTTTTATAATGTGCTTTAGAAATTAAAGTTAATGTAAACAAAGAGGCAGTGCCAGATGGTATTCACCCAAGCATACTTAGAAAGCTTATTGTTGAAATATCCATACCAATGTTTATTCTTTTCTTTTAGGAATCGTACCAGAGGATTTAAGAGAAACAGATGTTGTGTCTATATTACAAAATGGTTAAAAAGTTCAACCCAAAAACTACAGATCTGTAAGTTTAACATCTGTGGTTGGGAAAGTATTTGAAGTGTTGTTATGAGATTATATTTAAGAATTCATTTTGAACAACAGTATCATTATATATGGCTTTATAAAAGACAGGTCATGTCAAAATGTTGCCAAGGCATTCGATACAGTTCCACTCAAAAGGATACAATTAAAACTCAAATAATTTGGTTTTGATCAAAAATATTGTTCTTGGATAGAACACTGACTTAAAAATAGAGTGCAGACGGTAATTGTAAATGGAATATTTTCAGATTGGACAAAAGTAGTAAATGGAGTGCCTCAGGCATGGCCAGACTGGACCACTGGGACACCGGGAAATTTCCCAGTGGGCTGCTGCACCTGGGGCTGGCAGTGCTGCACAAAACACTTACTTTACTATTCCCTCTTCAAACATTTCATTTCAGTTTGTGTGTGTGTGTCAATGAGCTTGTGTATGGGTCAGGAAGCATGTGTGTGTGTCAGTGAACTTGTAGTGAGCTTGTGCATGGGTCAGGCGGCTTGTGTGTGTGTCAGTGAGCTTGTAGTGAACATGTCTGTAGTGAGCTTGTGTATGAGTCAGGGAACTTGTGGGTGTGTCAGTGAGTTTGTTTATAGTGAGCTTGTGTATGGGTCAGAGAGCCTGTGTGTGTCAGTGAGCTTATAGAGAGCTTGTGTGTGACAGTGAGCTTGTCTGTAGTGAGCTTGTGCATGTGTCAGTGAGCCTGTGTGTGTCAGTGAGCTTGTTTGCAGTGAGCTTGTGTATGGGTCAGTGAGCTTGACTGTAGTGAGCTTGTACATGGGTCATGGTATGGCTTGTGCCAGTGAGCATGTGTATATGTCTGTGAGCTTGTGTGTGTGTCAGTGAGCTTCTCTGTAGTGAGCTTGTGTATGGGTCAGTGAGCTTGTGTGTGTCAATAAGCTAGATTGTAGTGAGTTTGTGTAGGGTTTATGTAGCTTTTGTGTGTGTTTCAGTGAACTTGTGTTTCATAGTGTGTTAGTATCTCTGTCTGTGTGTCAGTATGTCTGTCTGTGTGTCAGTATGTCTGTGTGTGTTAGCATGTCTGTCTGTGTGTGTGTCAGATATACTAACACACACAGACATACTGACACAGACAGACATACTGACACACAGTGAGCTAGTCTGTAGTTAGTTTGTGTATGGGTCAGTGAGCTTGTTTATAGTGAGCTTGTGTATGGATCAGGCAGCTTGTGTGTGTCAATGAGCTTGACTGTAGCGAGCTTGTGTATGGGTCAGAGAGCTTGTTTGTGTGGCTGTGAGCTTGTGAGTGTCAGTGAGATTGTCTGTAGTGAACTTGTGTATGGATCATAGAGCATGTGTATCAGTAAGCTTGTCTGTAGTGAGCTTGTGTGTCAGTGAACTTGTGTGGGTTAGAGAGCTTATATATGTATCAGTGACCCTTTCTGTTGTGAACTTGTGTGGATCAGAGAGCTTGTCAGTAGTGTGCTTGTGTGTGTGTGTCAGTAAGCTTGTGTGTGACAGCTAGATTGTCTGTAGTGAGCTTTTCTGTAGTATGCTTGTAAGGCCAATTACAACAGAAAGGGGCGGTCTGAAGGGTGTTTGTTACATCAATGTAACAACCATGGATGATCTGGAGTGAGGGTCTGCAGGTAAGAAACAATATAACAGCTCACAGTCTGTGTGTGTATTTAGCAGTTTGTGTGTGTGTATTCAGCAGTCTGTGTGTGTGTGTGTATTTAGGGCCGGTGCATGGATTTTTGGCTACACAGGTGAATATGCATTTTTCCACCCCTCCCCCCACTGCCTTTTTACTTCTGACCCCTTTAGTGTGCCTTACACCCCCTTGAGTATATCTTATAATCCCCCTTCCTTCCCCCAGACCCTTTCGGTGGCTCTCTCCTCTCAGCCCATTGTGTGTGTGTGTGTCCAGGGCCCATTGTGTCTTTTTCCTCCCATGCCATGTAGACATAGATATATAGCAACACACATAACCATACAGGCACACATAATTATGCACAAAGATATGCGGGCAAACAATCAAACAAACACAGTCATACATATAAAGGTACAATTTCATACAAACAGACATACAGCCATACGGACACACACACAGACATATGAACACAGTTAGAGGGGGATAGGACTATAGAGGGCATAGGGACAGGTAGGGAGGCACAGAGGCTGTAGAGGAGGGCACAGGGTTATAAAGAGGTGACAGGGGCTACAGGAGGCACAGGGGCTTTAGATGTGGAACAGGGGCTATAGAGGGGGGCACAGGGACTATAAATGTGTGATAGGGACTGCAGAGGGGTCTCAGGGGCTATAGATGGGGAGGACAGGAGCTGAGAAGAGAACAGGCTTTAGAGGGGCACAGGGGCTATATAGGGGTGATGTGGCTAAAGAGGGGGCACAGGGGCTGTAGATGTGGGTCAGGGGCTGTCGAGGGGGGAGCATGCTGTGGTAGGGGCACAGGGGTAAGAAGAGGAGTGGGCTCTAGAGGGGCACAGGGACTGTAGAGGAGGGCACAGGGGCTGTAGAGCAGAGTACAGGGCTGCTTAAACATTTTTTGACAAAAAAAACAAAACAAACTAAAGTGTATTCTCCCCTCCTTGATGCTTACTTGGGCCAGGGAGAGGGAAACCTTATCCCTGGTGGTCAGGTGGGACAGGAGTTGGAGCCTGAAGCCAGCAGACTGTGAAGTTGGCCAGCCTTTTCTGATGATATGCAGGGCCGTCTTTAATGCGGGGCAAACGGAGCAGCTGTCCAGGGCCCAGTTGCTCCTGGGGGGCCATAGAGCAGCTGCCCCATGGACCCCGCGATTTACGCAGCCCCCACAGACCAGGCGGTGTGGCTGCACAGAGTCGCACTGGCCCGCACGCTAAGGAGGCCCATGCACTAAGGGCCACCCGGTGGGCATGTGTCAGCAGGGGCCCCTTCCTGTTCAGCAGCCAGCTGGGAGGAAGCGAGTGCCATGTGTCACTTCCTCCCACCAGAGATCAGAGCCACACGGGAGGAGAAAGGCAGGAAGGAGGGGGGTTCCCGAAGATAACTCCCAACTGCCTCAGCTTGCCACTGGACCCCAGGGAAACCACCCTCCAGAAAAAGGTAAGAACCTGGAAGGTGGCTAAATGCATAAATGGGGGTGCTCTGGTGCTCTGGTGCTCTGGTGCTCTGGGGACAAATTATACAATACACAAGATCTAGCGCACTCACCTAAACAGCAACTTTAATGTTGAAAGATTTTATTTGTTTTTTTTAAAACACCTAATCTAGGCAAAAATAATGGGGGTTTAGTTACATTATATGATCATACATTGCATAAGCCTGCCACAACATCAATGTGTCCCATCTTTGGCAGGTCCTACACTAACAGCCTAATGTCTGCTCTTAGGAGATTAACCCACTTACTTGGGGGGAAAAATACCATCTGGGGCTCTCTGCAGTACCAGGCTAAATAGGGCCCTGGGATGAGGCACCTGTGACAGGGAGGGGTGCAAAACCCAGGAGTTGGCTAAACTCCCAAATATATAATGGGGGTTTAGTTACATTATATGATCATACATTGCATGAGCCTGCCACAACGTCAATGTACTCCATCTTTGGCAGGTCCTACACTAACTGACACATGCAGACATACTGACACAGACAGACATACTGGCACACACACTGACAGACAGACATATTGACACACACACAGAGACATACTGTCACACATGTGTCTGTGGGTGTTTCAGTATTTCTCTTAGTATATGTCTGTGTGTGTGTGTCAGTATATCTGTCAGTGTATGTGTCTGTGTGTGTCAGTATGTCTGTGCGTGTGTATGTCAGAACGTCTGAATGTGTGTCAATATGTCTGTCAGTATATCTTTGTGTGTCAGTGTATGTGTGTGTCAGTATGTATCATGTTTCAGGTATTGTACCGGAGGATTGGAGGAAGGCAGATGTCGTTCCTATATTTAAAAAGGATTAAAAATCCTTGCCTGGAAATTATAGACCTGTGAGGCTAACTACTGTGACTGGGAAAATATGTGAAGGGCTATTAAGGGATAATATTCAGGAATTCATTGGGAAGAACTTTGTTATTAGCAATAATCAGCATGTTTTATGAAACATAGGTCATGTCAAACTAACCTAATTGCATTCTACGAAGAAGTAAGTAGAAGTATAGATCAGGGTGTTGCAGTGGATGTGATCTACTTGGATTTTGCCAAGGCATTTGATACGGTTCCTCACAATAGGTTAGTCTTCAAACAATTGGTCTAGATGATTATTCTTGTTCTTGGGTAGAACATTGGATTAGAAATAGAGGACAATGAGTTGTCAATAATGGTAAATTTTCTGGCTGGACATAAGTGGTAACCCATCAGGGTTCTGTTTTGGGACCACTTCTATTTAACATAAATGATCTTGAAATAGGCATTGAAAGCCATGTTTCTGTGTTTGCAGATGACACAAGACTTTATAAAGTAATAAAATGTGAGCATGATATTGCTTTGCTGCATAGGGATTTGGATAGATTGGGGGACTGGGCACTAAAATGGCAGATGAAATTTAATGTAGAGAAATGCAAGGTTATGCACTTCGGGGTCAAGAATGCACAAGCAGCTTACACCCTAAATGGTAGTGAATTAGGGATAACCACACACAAGAAGGATTTGGGAATTGTTCTAGACAGCAAATTAGGCAGCAATATGCAATGTCAATCTGCAGTTGCTAAGGCCAGTAAGGTTTTGTCATGTATAAATAGGGGCATAAATTCTCGGGATAAAAATATAATTTTGCCTCTTTATGAATCGCTGGTAAGACCACACTTTGAATATGCTGTGCAATTTTGGGCACCTGTTCTAAAGAAGGATATCATGGCACTAGAAAAAGTGCAGAGACGAGCTACAAAATTGATACAAGGGGAAGTTTCCCCACGGCATTGGGGTGAAAAGTGTGATTGGGGGTTGGGTGTACTTGGGGGGGGGGCAGGGCCCAGCGGGCCAAAGAAAATGCCCTGATGATATGTTCCTTTGGGGAGTGTGGAAGAAAAGCAGTGGAAGTGACGCCCTCTTTTTGACATGATCAGAAGAGGCCACCCAAAGTCACTGGCTGCTGAGTGCTGGCTGCAGAGAGGCAAGTGATTTTAGAAATTTAAGTCCCCAGCCAGAGGCAGGGGATTCGGATTTTTGCACCCCCTTCTGCTCTGACGCCCTAAGCCTGTGCTGCCTTTTGGACACACCAGCCCTGTGTGTATTGAGCAATCTGTATGTATTGAGCAGTCTGCTTGTGTATTCAGCAGTCTCTGTGTGTGTATTCAGCAGTCTGTCAGTGTGTGTATTCAGCAGTCTGTCTGTGTGTGTATTCAGCAATCTATGTTTAATGAGCAGTCTCTGTGTGTATTCAGCAGTCTGTGTGTGTATATTCAGCTGTATGTGTGTTTATTTAGCAGTGTGTGTGTGTGTGTGTATTCACAAGTCTTTATATGTGTGTGTATTCAGCAGTCTCTGTGTTTATTTAGTAGTCTGTGTGTTTTTGCATTCAGCAGCCTGTGTGTGTGTATTCAGAGTGCCGCCTGGAGCCATGGTACTACCAGGACCTATGGACGGGCTGGCCCTGCATATAGTTCCTTCAGCGATTCACTCCTTGCAATATACCTTTCAAAAATGTATTGAAATCGCTAACACGTCAATTCAAAATGAGAAATAAAGTAGGTTAATGTGATACCAGAAAAATACGATAGCCCTATGCTGCCAGATATAGTCAATGTTTGACTCTTGCATTGCAATTTACAGTATGAAGCAAGGACAAATAGTTAAAAGTGCAAATATTAAGGATGGACTTGTTTCACTCCACATTTATTTAGAGTAGCAACAAACATAAATGTTTTCTGATGTTCGGCTTTGTACATAACTTAAGGGTATTTCGGCTGAAGCATTTATGATTTTCATTGCTACTCCAAATACACGTGGGGCAACTTGCTCTAATAAGACTTTTATAACACAGATGATTCTCAGCCAGCCAATGAGCATGGATCCTTTCTGAGTTTTACACTAAAATCCTAATTACCGGGAATTCAAAGTGAATTTCACATTGGAGGCCAAAAAGATTAAATGGAAACATTCTCCAAGTCAGCTATGCTTCCAATTTGGCTATTTTGTCATTAAATTTGAAATTCACCTTAAAATCGTACTTTAGTGAATAACTATGAAAATGTTTATCAAATATGTGCCTTGGTTTTAAGAACATTAAATGAATATTTGAACACCCTAAAATTAATGCCCACTGGACTACATCAAGGGAGACATAGTTTAACAGCCTGCACAGCTTAACCCTTTCAGTGGCTGAGATATGCAGTGCATTTTGTTTGCTCCAAAACAATTAACTATTTGTACCCTAGCCTTGAAAGGGTTTAAAGTATTACTGGTATTTGGAGCACCATAACCAGTTCAATGCAGTGGTTATGATGCTAGGTGAGACCCTGCAGTGTAAATAGTCAAAGGAACAGCTTCTGTTAACTACACTTTTTTTAAGCCCACTGGCTGAGGTGGTAAGGTGAGTACTCTCAACCAATGAGCTAAGCCCTGGTCCGCTGTTTTAACTCAATGCAGGACCTTCCAAGCACACAGGTAGAAATGCCCTGTCTCAAAAGGTTTGACTACTTATCCTGTAAGGGCAGCAGGGCACTCTGGGCACTATAACCACTACAGCCTGCTGATGCATGGTGTTTTCCTTTAAGGGAGTGTGTATTATATAGCTACAGAGAAACCAAGTGATAAGGCTGTAGGGTGGTGTCCGTGAGATATAGTATGGGCTGAATCTATAGGTATATTTGAAACCTAGCAACGGCCCTGGCAATAAAACACTTTCAAAGAAGAAACCAACATCAGTATAAAAGGATGAATTTTAAGAACAGACTTTATTATTGTAATAAAATTAACAATATATAAAATATATGTATCTAGGTTAACAATGGTGGTCCTAGCATGCCAAGTGTGAATCCTGCAGGCCAGTGAACCATGTATGTTGTTAATGTGAGTTTCAATGTGTTTTTTTTTGTTTGTTTGTTTTTTGGCAATGATGAAACTAACAAGTGCAATTCTAGATCATGTTTTTATGCCACAATTAATGTGCTAATTTCATAATATGGGTGGGCCTTTTTATCTGAATAAATATTTTGTTTGCTCAATGTGTGATTGTATGTGAATGTGTTTGTCTTTGCATGATTGTCTGAATTTGTCTTTGAATAAGTGTTTGTTCTTGTGCATGAATATGCATTTGTCTCTGTGTTGCTTTGTGCATAAAAGTTGGTGTCACTGCCTGAATGTTTTTATGTATTTATGTAAATCAATCTGCAGGCTTGTCTTTGTGCATATGTTGCTTATATTCAGGTGTCCATGGAAGTTTTTTTGGTTCACTGCACTTTTCTTCTGGATTCCTGTTCTGCCTCTTTGTGGATTTGATCAATTGTTTTTGGTCCCTCGGGATGGTGTTGCGGTACCGAGTTATTTCTCCTCAGATCCAACACATCCTGCACCAAAAACCTAATCCTAGAAGAAGTTGTCCTGTTTGTAATGAAGATATTAATCTTGTTGAAATAATTGCCCATGCCAGATTGTCCATTTTCAAGGTACTTTCCAACTGATGTTAACAATAGGCCTCCTCGTTGTTCCTCTTCAGTAGCTTAATGAGACAGTCGTTCATGGTGTCTTCTGACAGCAAGTTTAATTTAAATAGCTCTCCAATAAATTTGATGTTCCCTAGGGATCGCCTGCGTGCTCTATTACAGGCATCACTCAATTCCTCCTTCAGTCGAGTCTTTTCATTAGGTGACATAGCAGCATCCAGTTCCTTCTGCAGTTCTTCAATTCTTTCACCACCTTTTTCACCTCTCTCAAACTCCACCTGGCAGGGCCTTATTAGCAGCCTGCGGAAGGTAATGCACACTTCACAATTTTCTACTGTTGGGACCTCAAGCATCTTTAGCCAGTTGCACATGTTGGCATATATCACTGCAAAATGAAGCTCTGCTACTGCTTTTTCAAATATGAGTTCAGCAACACAGAGAGGTCCTTCGCCTGATGGATTAAGTGCTGGAATGTCTGAGGAGTGATCTTATTTAGAATACCGCGAGCTCTCCGAAACAGTTCTTGAGCCTTGACTCTACTGGGTTCTTCTTTTTCCCTTTTCATAGGAGGTCTCCAAGCGTTGGCAGATTTTTGCAGTGTAACATTCTCGTTGAGTTGAATAATTTTATGAGTTTCTTTAGCAGGAGCTTGCTGAGAACTCATTTGACCCATTCCAGATGGCAATCTGCGATTACCCTTAGCAGGGTGGCAGAAATTTGCAGATGGAGGTGTACAATTCCTGCGAGTCAATTGTGAAGGATCCACTGGCCGAAAGTGAGGGCTAATAACCATACCTTGGTGGTTTTTACAGATCTCAGCGAAGTCCTTTGGCTCCTGTGTGATGGATTTGAATTGGAGTAAGAAATTCCTGTCATAGCATATGCTTTCTGTCTTTTCTTTAATATTTGCCTTCTCTTGGAGTGCAGGTACTGCAAAGTCTTGGCTTTCCATCATTTGCTTCAGAACTATAACAGCCTCTCCAGATGGTTATTTTTCTTCTGTTTCTGGCAATGGTTGCTCTTCATGGTCACTGCTCAGGCTCACATATGATCCAGGCAAATTATTCTTTATATCATTTTGCGTCTGCTCAGGGATGCTCTCTTGATTGATTAGAGGTAACTCTTCTGGCTGAACAATGGAGGAATCCAAAGTAGTCTCAGAGTGATTCATTACAGTGGTAGAGTTTACTGGAAGCTCCTCTAACATTTCACCAGTGTGTGGTTTGGCAGGACAAACTGGGTGCTCTAGAAGAATACCATGTTCGTGAACTGTGACAGCCTCCTGAGATTCTAGATTTTTAGACTCAGGGTGACAACCCAAAATTAAATGTGGCTGACCAGGATTCACTGGCACTTCCTCTGTAATCCACTTGTATGAGGTTTGATAGTACAATCAGGGAATTCTTGAGAATTGTTGTCTTCTAAACATGCAACAACCTCTGTAGGCTGTAGAGACATAAATTGCAGCAAATGACAATGACCTGTGACTGGGTTCTGTGAATCTAGATTTGTAGGGTCAGGTGAACAACTGAAAGTGGACTGTGGGTGACTATGGTTCACTGGCATTTCCTCTGTCAATCTATTTGTATGAGGTTTGATAGTGCAAACAGGGCCTTCTAGAAAATTGTTGTTTTTTAAACATGTGACATAGACTGCAGGATAAAGAATATCTTCTAGACTTGTGACAGGTTCAGGCTGTAGAATAGTATCCTGTTTATAATACTCTGCACAATCATTTGTTTCATATTCTGGTCCTTTTCTGTCTACTTCCTGTTCTGGGACGCTTGCAGCCTTTTTAGTTGTTATGAATTGTTTTGGAAGTACTGCAGGTTTAAACTTAGAAGAAAAGATTGGGTCCCTGCAATTAAAATAGGTAAAGTTAAAATAAAGTTGTTGCAATTGTGTCCTTTCCATCCATCAGCCCATTTTGTCACTTATTTTATTCCTCATTAGCTTTCCTTTCACTTTCGGTCCGTCAGCTACCCTATCACTCGTTATCTATCAGTCATTATTGCACAGCTTACAGTGACACTATCAGATCATTTATGTTTCATATATTACATTCTGGTTACAGTAAAAAAAAAATATTTTTACCATAAAAAGCTTCTGTTTATTTTAAAATGCATATTTTATGGAAATTAGGTAATGCCTGGTAAGTCATGTTGCCATTGTACTCCCCACTGATTTGTGATGTTGGTTCAGAATCAGCATTAACAACTTGCTCTATCTGTGGTTCTTCTCTCATTGGTTGTCTGTGTACACATGTAGCCAGTGAGAGAACCAGGGTATTGGCTTACTGAGGACAATGCAGTTTTATTTGTATATGTTTATGTATATGGTCTGTCATTCTGTGTTTCATAATACACTTACCTAGGTGGCCAAACATATGTCATTAGTTTGTTGGTTTTTGTTGGAGACACCCAAATATAGTATGGTACTTCGAGAATCTTCTCCTCTTTTCCATATCTGACATAGCTAGTATTAGGTCTAAGAAAAACATAACAAAACAAAAAGGTCAGGCTAATTATTACAACACTCAGCGTAGAGGTTAAAATCTCAGTTTGTTAAAACAAACATCAACAAAAGAAAAAGCACAAAATCCCCCCGCCCCCTCCAGCCTTTGATTACCTTTCATCAAGCACTGCAAATTTAGATGTAACAGAAGAGGGAAGGCGAAGTCTCTTTGTGCCTTGCTGACAACTTTTTAGACTTTCTTCCACAAACCCACCATTCTGTTTCCATGGCTCCCATTTCTTACCCTTCTCGGGATCTGGACAAACATCCAGATTTGATGATATCTGGGGCAATATCTGAGGCTCAGCTTTAAGAGGTAGCCTATTTAAGAAAGAAAAAGTGATTAGTGAACTTTCATATTTCACACATTTGATATATTATTTTTGGAATAACCGAGTGTGTTTAGGAGATGATAAAACGAGCCATTATATATTATGCATTATTATTTAGGTTGTATTGTTATGGTTAACTAATTCAATTTGATGTGTAAAACCTGTGAAATTTCTGGACTAATTCAATCTGGCATTTCATCCCAGTATGGTGCTGTTTGATCAGGGACTCAAAACACCTTTATTAATTCCTATATATTTTACTTTTTTTGTGCACCCCTTCGTATCGTGCCTGCTTATTTTATTGTGATCACTTCGAATGTGTTAGGCTACACGCATTGTTTTTGTAAATTTTTCTATCTTGTCTGTTAAGAAAAATAACTAAATCATGAAACTCAAATTTCCATTTTAAATACTTTAACCCTTATAATACTCCCATTCATTTCAGAATGAAACTATTACATCTGCAAGAAAGTTATGTTATTCATAGAAATAATACCCATTAACAAACCATTCGTTATTCTAATCTCTATCGAACTCTGACCCCCATCTTCTAATAATCTTATCTAACATGATACATGCAGCTGCTGTCCACTTACCTCTCCGTAGACGTATGACAAGGAATACCCTCTAGACTTGTGACAGCTTATAGTGAACACAATCAGATCATTTTTTTCATATATTACATTTTGGTTACAGTAATTTCAATAAATAGTTTATTTTGTACCATAAAAGCTTCTGCTTATTTTGAAATGCATTCCTTATGGAAATTAGGTAATGCCTGGTAAGTCACGTTGCCATAGTGCTTCCGTGATAAGTGATGTTGGTTCAGAAAGAGCATTGACATCTGACTCTATCTGTGGTTCTTGTCTTATTGGTTGTCTGTGTACACAGACAGCCAGTGAGGGAACCAGTGTATTGGCTTACTGAGGACACTGCAGGTTGTTGGTTTTTTTTGGATGATCGCATAGGATTATGGTCGGTCATTCTGTGTCTCATGATACACTTACCTAGGTGGCCAAAGATATTTCATTAGGTTGTTGGTTTTTGTTGAGGTCACCCGAACATAGTATGGTACTTCAGGAATCATATCCTCTTTTCCATAGCTGACATAGGTATATGTACAGCTTTTTGAAAAAAAACACAAAAAACAAAATGGTCAGTCTAATTCTAACAGCACCCAGCGTAGAGGTTAAAATGTCAATTTGTTAAAACAAAATATCAACAATAGAAAAAAATAGCAGAAGATTTCCCCCCTTTTGATTCATGTGATCATACAGTATTTACCTTTCATCAAGCAATGCAAATTTAGATGTAACAGAAGGGGGAAAGCGAAGTCTCTTTATGCCTTGTTGGTAACTTTTTCGAGTTTCTTCCACAAGCCCACCATTCTTTTTCCATGGCTTCCATTTTTACCCTTCTTAGGTTCTGGACAAACATCCAGATTAGGTAATATCTGGGGCAATGCCTGGTGCTCTGCTTTAAGAGGTAGCCTATTTAGGAAAGAAAAAGTGATTAGTAACGTTTTATATTTCACACATTTGATATTTTAATTCTGGAATAAGTATGTTTCGGAGATGATAAAAGAAGCTATTATATATTATGCATTAGTATTTAGGTCGTATTGTAATGGTTAACTAATTCAATTTTAAGTGTAAAACCTGTGAAATGTCTGGACTAATTTCATCCTGCAGGCTGCATTTCATCCCAGGATGGTGCTGTCTGATCAAGGTCTAAAAATACCTTTATTAATTCCTATATATTTTACTTTGTTTTTTGCACCCCTGTATATCATGCCTGTGTATTTAAAGGATCACTATAGTGTGAGGAAAACAAACTTGTTTTCCTGGCACTATATAATCCTTAGGTCCCCCCCCACCCTCAGGGCCCCCCTCCTGCTGGGTTGAAGGGGTTAAGACCCCTTCAGCCACTTACCTTTATCCAGCGCCGGGCTCCCTTGGCGCTGGTGACCTCTCCTCCCCCGCAGACATCCGCTCTTGACTGGAGCCGCATGCACAGCAAGAGCCGCATGCGCATTAAAAACGCCCATAGGAAAGCATTTTGTGTTTTGCTTCCCTATTGATGACGACGCCCATTTGGTCGGAATGGACCAAGGTTTGGAGCAGTGGTTTTAGGCGGGTGGCCAGTATTTTCGTAAATATTTTCATATCTAAATTTATCAGGGAAATTGGCCGGTAGCTATCACAGTTGGTCGGGTCTTTACCAGGTTTGGGTATGAGGGCTATGTAGGCCTCCAAGGCTGATGTAGGGAAGGTTGCCGACTGGGCAATGGGAGTTGAATGCTTGTGTGAAGAGCTCAGACAGAGAAGTTATGAACGTCTTGTAGTATTTAGCTGTAAAGCCATTTGGCCCTGGGCTTTTTCCTAGTTGGAGGTGCCGTATAGCTGAGTGGAATTGTTCCGAGGAGATGGGTGTGTCTAGGGTCGGAAGGACGTTGGCGTGGATAGTCTGGTGAATACTAGAAGTCAGGAATTGTTCAATGTCTCGGGTTGAGGGAGTCCCTTAGGTTGTAGAGGTTAGTATAGAAGTCGTGGAAAGCTGTCAATATGTCTGGGAGTTTATAGGACAAGGCACCTGAGGGTTTTTTAATATTTTAGATGAAGGTCGATTGTCTTTGTTGTTTTAGGGACTTTGCGAGCATGCGGCCACATTTGCCCCCTTGGGAGTAGTAAGAGTGTTTACCATATTCAGCAATCTATGTGTGTGTGTATTCAGCAGTCTGTGTGTATTAAGCAGTCTGATGGGAGAATGTTGAGAGAAATAGAACCAGAATATCTCTGTTGATAAATGGCATGTACACACATTGTTATATACTATATGCACACAATAACATACACAGACATAGTAGACACACACCTAGTGTACACAAACACTGACACACAGTGAGACAACAGTATGCACACACTGTTATTCACACACTACTATACGCACGTTCAGACAGTATATATACACACTTCCTCACATACACAATGCTATACGCAAAGTCAGACAAATTATACACATTGTAAGTAGTTTATTAGTGATTTGGTGAATTTTCTCGTTCCAAACGTTCTCACTCTCTAATGTATGCTATGTCCTGAGATATCACACATACATAATGAAATTATGGAAGTTAGCTTGGCCGGTATTTCTATCCAGAAAAGGGGGCATCTCTATGAAGGTCACAGAAAGTGTCTGCAAAGTATGAATCCTCCTGCCATGTGACAAAAGTGTATTTTTACTTTTTTTCACCGTTTTCTATTTCGTCTCCTGCAGAAAGATGGCGCCCTAACCTAGCAAAGCAAACAGTCGCTAGCAATCTCAATATGAATTATCATATAAATATCCCATTCATCCTTTTCCCAGCCTTCTCCCTTTCACTCAAAACAGTTGTATATTTCCGAATAGACCAATAGGATTGTACTAATGTTTTTTCCGCTCCAGTTCATTGCTCAAAAACACTGAAGGAAATAATGATACAGCAAGTAGGTGGCACGCGCTGTATCTAACACACCCTTTTCAGACCCCATTTAAAAAAAAAAAAAAATACTTTTGTTACATATAATAGAATTTTCTGAATCTCAGAAATAATTGAAATCTTGTCAAGGTGATGTGTAATATAATATAAAATATAGAACTTTGTTATTTTCACAAAGCAACTCCCTTGCTAACTTTTCTAATTAACTGGTGGTATCGATTTCTGAAGATTTCCACCTTCACTTCCAGATCTATTATTTATTTATAAAATATTTTACCAGAAAAGATACATTGAGATTTCTCTCGTTTTCAAGTATGTCCACAGCAAATTGTAATGACTGGAAAACTAGAAATGACTAAATTAGCTTAGCTGGATGTACAGCAATTACATTTTCAATCACCCCAATTCAATGATTAGTGAATAAACCTTTTTGATTGTATTTACAGCCTATGTTAGTAAAGCTTCTTGGTGCACAGTTTTGTAAAATGAAAATTTCGCATGAATTTATCATTGTCTTCAATAGTGTGACTATGAGTGGACTATAACATGGATCCCCCAGTACAAATCTAAAAGCTAATCACAAATTTATTGACTGTGACAATAATGAATGTATTGCTTTTCTATATAACTCAGAAATAATTAAAAGGAAAAAAAAATAGTAAAACTTGGAGCTGCTTGGCTATTTGTAAACTACATTTCCCATCAGGCTCAGCTCTCCTCCCCTCGTTTATGGGCGGGAAAATCTCCACAAGCAACGGTTTTAGCGCGAGCTGATTAGCCTAAAGGCAGAGCTCGCGGAATTGACAGCCCAGTTCAAAGACCACGCCCCTTTCTCCATCGGCTCTCCAGACATTCCGTTTACCATAGACATATTCTACGTCCATGCCGTTTACAGCCTGGTGTAGGGATATGTTGACGCATGCGCCCATGAGAGGGGGCGTGGTCTGGGTGCGCGCCGGCGCTCTCTGCTGACGCCGTGTTCCTGCGTGTCGGAAGCGGCCCCTCCCTGTGGCGGCGGCAGCGGCTGGCGGAGTCTCGTGTCCCAAGCGCCCTGTCCGGCCCCTCCCCCCCAGCGCCGCCCTCCCCTCGCTCTCTCTCTCCCCGCTGGCTGACAGGCCCCGGAAGCGGCCTGAGAGACCTAGAGAGCGGGTGAAGCCAATGACTGGCTGCTCAGGAGAGAAGCCGGGGCCGCTCAACACTCACACCGGGGCTCACACGGAGCCCACACCGACCAGCACCCGGGGCTCACCGAACTGGAACTAGGGCCACACCGGCTGCAGCCTCTGGAGGGCAGGAAACTAACTGAATTGAGCCAAAGAACACCTACCTCAACCTCATGTGCCTCTCTCAAGGGCCCCTCTAGCTGCACCCCGAGAACCACCAGACACAGGGGCTCACTGTACCTGGGACAAAGCAGGCTGTCTGTACTGAGCTCCATAGCACCTGGGACAAAGCAGGCTGTCTGTACTGAGCTCCATAGCACCTGGGACAAAGCAGGCTGTCTGTACTGAGCTCCATAGCACCTGGGACAAAGCAGGCTGTCTGTACTGAGCTCCATAGCACCTGGGACAAAGCAGGCTGTCTGTACTGAGCTCCATAGCACCTGGGACAAAGCAGGCTGTCTGTACTGAGCTCCATAGCACCTGGGACAAAGCAGGCTGTCTGTACTGAGCTCCATAGCACCTGGGACAAAGCAGGCTGTCTGTACTGAGCTCCATAGCACCTGGGACAAAGCAGGCTGTCTGTACTGAGCTCCATAGCACCTGGGACAAAGCAGGCTGTCTGTACTGAGCTCCATAGCACCTGGGACAAAGCAGGCTGTCTGTACTGAGCTCCATAGCACCTGGGACAAAGCAGGCTGTCTGTACTGAGCTCCATAGCACCTGGGACAAAGCAGCCTCTCATATACACCAGCCCATAGCACCTGATAGGGAGCTAAGTATCTATACAGGTATCCCCTCTGCAGTCAGGGGAGAGCTACATCCCTAGAGGATATACTGCTAGGATTAACTTTTCACCCAGCTGCCCTAAAACGGGCCCTCAATCAGTGCACCACAAAAAGCACCCTACTCAAGGACAAAGAACTAAAAGTATAACCAACTGAAGTCTGAATTGTTCATGACATTTATTCCTCCTCCTTTTCAATCCCTAAACGTTCGGTTTACAGTACCCATATAGATTCAGGGTACATTCCTTGAGAGGATTTCTTTCACTCACAAGGAAGCACTTCTTCAACCTATACTGGAGCATTGGACCTAAGGACACCCCTTTGTATTTCTTATTTCTAGAAACTGAATTTAATGCACCACCATGGGCAAGGTACTTTCCAAGATATTTGGCAACAAGGAAATGAGGATCTTGATGCTCGGTCTTGATGCTGCTGGGAAGACCACCATCCTGTATAAACTAAAATTGGGACAGTCTGTCACAACTATACCAACTGTAGGTTTCAATGTAGAGACAGTGACTTACAAAAATGTAAAGTTCAACGTGTGGGATGTGGGGGGCCAGGACAAGATTCGACCCCTCTGGCGGCACTACTATACTGGCACACAAGGCCTTATATTTGTGGTGGACTGTGCGGACAGAGACCGTATTGATGAGGCTAGGCAAGAGCTCCATCGCATTATCAATGACAGGGAGATGAGGGACGCCATCATCCTAATATTTGCCAATAAACAAGACCTCCCTGATGCCATGAAACCCCATGAAATCCAGGAGAAACTTGGTCTGACACGAATCAGGGATAGAAATTGGTATGTGCAGCCATCCTGTGCAACCAGCGGGGATGGGCTCTATGAAGGACTTACATGGCTAACCTCCAACTACAAATCTTAATGACTAATAGAGGTCCCGCAGGCAATTTAAGCTATTACTTCTCAGAAGATATTAAATAGGGGGAGAGGAAGAGAAGTAATGACATCGGATTAACATGATCTGAATGATCACCTCTTTAAATTACAAGGAGATATGGGCTGGAATACTTTAAAAATATCTATATGAAAATATATTATTTTTTGCTTTGCTGTAGGATCTAATTTCCCAAATTTCCAGACGTATAAATGAAGCGACTATGAAATTGAAATTACCGAACCATTCTTTATCTTTAGGCTCAAACAAAATGGTTTGGTTTGAGGGATACATGCTTAGTTTCCAGTTCTGCTTTTTTCCTCTTAAACTTTGTTTGCATATGTTGTATTTCTGCCTTTTTTTTTTTTTTTGCATTCATACAGGGTATGTTGCTAGATCTATTTCAACTAGTAAACTTAAAAATTATATTCTTTCAAAATCACCCTGCAGTTTGTCATTTATGCAAAAACTGGTGTTTTTGTTTAGCATTTATCAGACTTATTAGAAATCTTCGTATTAATTTAATTAACTTACAATTAAGTTGATTAACTGTATTGCATCCCATCTGCCATAATCGAAGTCTGAATTATTGAAATTCTCATACATAAGCCATGCATGAATAGACTTAATTCAAATTATCCTGATTAATGTTACAAAGCAATGGTGAAATAGGTGTGTGGCATTTTGAGGATCATACAGTGATCAGAAAATTTTGTCAAATCTGTCATTTGTTTTGGCCTGCCCGTTCGTGTACATAGAAGAGGGCTCTGTTAATATGTAGCAATACTTAAAATTATGCAAAGATCATCACATTGGAAGAAATTAATTCTGTAAAGCACAACTTTGTAATTCATTGCAAAGCTTATTTGACTCTTAGTAATCTTATCTGCCTGATTCTGTGTTAAAAAGGTACATTGCTCCAAAAAGCGTCTTCAAATATATGCGTTTATAAATAAAAAAAAAAAAAATTACATTATTTCTGTAACTCCTTATTGTAAAGTATAGTTCTTTAAAATGGTAAAAATTATATGGTTTTGGGAAGATCAATCGATCTGCTTTGCAACCATTGACTGTCATTTATAACTGCAGATTTGTCCTCTAATTTGTTTCTGTTCCTACCTTTACAGCCAGTGGTTTCTTGCACTGTATCCACTGAAATACATGGGGGAAGGGGGTTGTTTCCCCTTTAAATATGTTAGATCATATTTGTGAATCAAGCTTTAAGGGGTATTTTTCCTGCAAGTTAATAAGAATAATGTGATTTTTTTTTTTTTTTTTAAAGTGATCAGTTTAAAAACAAAATATATATATATATATAT